GGATAGTTTCTATGGATAAATCATCAAGCCAACTGGTGGTTGGCTAATCTGATATAAATCCTACTCAGTGTTTTATTTCAGATATTATATTTTCCACTTCTAGAAATTACATTTGAGCCTTATTTATATCTTTCATTTCTGTTCTTAGTGTTCATGTCTTTCTATACCTTATTGAACATTTGATATAAATTTATAGTAGCTAGTTAAATGTTCTTGTTTGCTAATACTAGCATCTATTATTTCTTGGTCTGCTACTTTTGAATGATTCCTCTCCTATTTGTGGGCCACATTTTCCTATTTCTTTGTGTACATGGTAATTTGTGACTGTATGCCAGCCATCATAATTTTTATCTTGTTGAGTACCAGATATTATGGTATACTTTTATATAGTGTGTTGGATTTTTTCCACTACAAAGGCAAGTTATTTGTACTCAGTTTAATAAATTTCAGACCTACTTTTAAGTTTTGTTAGAGTAGATACTCAGCATCATGGTATTGTGCATATTAAATTTTTAAAAACCATTTTTCCACATATTTTGTCTGGTTATTTCTAATTATTCAATAATAAAGCATCAATCAAGTCTTTCTATTCCATTATGGCTGGATGAGTGATACGATTTTTTCTTTTAATTGCCAGAGGTCCATGAGTTCATGAGAGAGAAAGATTGGGAGACAGAAAGTGAGAGAAAAAGAGAGATTGGGAGACAGAGGGAGAGAGAGAAATTGCCCATAGTGGGGTGTGCTCATGCTGTGATCTCTTCTCCATTTCTCATTCTCTTAGGACTTTGAACACACATGCACATGTGTGTGCCATGTTTTCAAGCTGTGGGGCTAGGATCTGACTATGGTCAGACATGTGGGATCCAGCTCCCTTAACTACTAGGCCATAGGGTTGGCTCCATATGCTTTTAACATTGAAAATAAAACCTTATCTATATTCTTCACAAAGTAAGCCTTACTTCCCTGGCATTCATAAAGATTAAGGACAGCTTTCAGATGGTTAGTAGTATTAATTTGTTTATAACCTTTATTTGTGAAGCAACCTGGGGCATAAGGGGAATAACTAATTTATATTTGTGCAGTCTAGTGTTCTTCCATAATTACTAGCTGGAACCTATGCCAGTGATTCTATGAGACTCAACAGGTCTGGATTTGTATTTGTATGTCTAGGAAATTAGCAGATGTTGGTGACTTTCTTAGTTTTTGATTCACAAATGACACTTAGGTAATTTCTCTATTTTCTTTTTTTTTTATTATTTTTTAATTTTTT